GGACGAGAGGCCTGGCTTGGGAGAGTGGGGGGGGGGGGGAGGTTGTGACGCGGCGACGCGGGACCACGTATGAGTTGTGCTTTTTTGCAAACGACCTGAGCTGCCCAGCTTGGCAATAGAGCGATGCGGAAGAGGCTGAATGTCAGCGGCTCTAGCTCCTCAACACTGCCTGAGCTTTGCACCAGCCCGTGGAGTGGCCCAAGTTGTCTTGGAAAGTGGCACCTCTGCCATCTGTGAAAGACTGAAGGACAATTGAGCGTATGGCTTCAGTACTCGACTTTCACTTCACAGCTGCCTCTTCCGAGACAGATGATGAGCATGGAAGCTGGACGGGGGCAGTCGAAGCCTGCCACCAGTAAATGTCACGAAGGCCGACCAGCATAGTGTGATTGCACATCCCGCTGCTCCGCCCGAGCCTGCATGGAACCTGCCAATACAGGTGCTGAGCAAACCCTCCTGGCACCGCGGGCACGACTCGCATGACATGCATATCTGCACAGACTTCACCCTTCTTTGTTGGAAGCCATCATAGGGAGATGACAAGCATAGGAGGCTATGTTCACCGACGTGATCGAGCGGCGTGACTTTTCGGCTCTGAACTGTCATTTTGTCTTCCGGGCACGTCCATCACTCCAGCGGCTTCCCAGACTTCTGTGACTATGTGAGACGCTGCTTCTCCTGCTTCGTGTGGCGGCTCAAGCATGCCGAATGCTGATGCCAGCAGGTCAGGACAAGATGAGCTGCAAAATGGCTTCGATACGCTTCGGGGCTACCGTCTCAGGCAAGGACAGCATCTCACCCGCATCCTCGAAGCCGATGGCCTTCATGAGTTCCTCTGCACAGCTATACCACATGCGCCTTGTTTCCTGCAAGTTTCATCTGGAAATCTTGATACACCCTGGCAGGGGCCCGCCGGTTGCGCTCTTGGCAATACTATCCCTTCAGTCAGCACTTGGCTCGGGTTGTGTGGCTCGCACAGCTTTGTGCAAAGACTTCAAAGCAACCATACCAGACATTACCAGATGCGCTGAAAAGGGCAAGGGCAACCTAATCATGAGAGCAACGGCCTCCTCAGGTGGGAATGCTTTACAATGGAGGCCGGACCGAGTTGAGCTCTGAGTTTGCAGTTAAGTGTCCTCCCCTCCAGGCACCCGAAGGATTTTCTCCTGGATCGCCTGGCGCCACGACACGAAACAAGGTCGTAGCTTCAGAGGCCTGGCGGCCTGGCCTTGTTCTCTCGCTTCACGTTGCGGAATTTGGGATTCCGAGGATCGGCCGCCACATTGGACAGCAACTTTCCTGACTTTGCCCCGTCCAGGTTTATCGGTCTATCCAATCAGGAAAAGGAAAGGTCTGCCCCTTTACGACGGGCGGCGCAAGGTCGACAGGCAAAGCCTGGCCTTCCACAGGTCAGAAGCACAGCTCTGCTGTCCGCTGGAGTGGCACCCTGGACTTCCTCTCATCTGCCGCCTCCTCCGAATTGCCAAGAGCTCTCCGCAGTTCTAGGAGCTTTGAAGCAGGCGCCTGCAGTGTATCGGTTTTCAACAGCTCCCGTGAGGTCGCGGTGCCCTAACATGCGGGCCTCGGGAACCAATCGCTTCGATTCCACAACCTGTTTTCGGCCCAAGGTTGCCACAGGCTGCCCACAACGCCCAGACTCTCTGTCACTTGAAGTCCAGCGCTTTTTTATGCAAGGACAGTATCCACAGATTTCCACAGCTTGCCTCCGAGCCCGTTGAGGCTTCACCAGGCGTCCTCAGCTTCAGCTCAAACTCACGCGCACTTTTGGAGAGGCTTCGGTTGTAGCTGAGCTTCGCCTCGCCAGCATGCTGCGGTGCCGCAACCCGCGAGCCCGTGACGCCAGAGCCCCAGTTTTGCGCAGCCCTGTTTGGCAAAGCTTTCCTGGGATCGCTGCATCGAAACTTCCACTTGGTTCTTCGATTTGCAAGGCTCTGCATCCCAGAAGCTCTCGGCGGTCCGAGGACAGTCTCGACAGCCACTCTCCCTTGCTCTCACGACAAGGATGCTGGTCCTATGGCAGCAAGACTGGGAGGTGACATGGAGCTCCTTCGAAGCAACGTATGCGTGGTCCTCGAAGCGGTGCTTCAAGCAGACCTGGCGACAGCACGAGAGCAGAACAGGTTTTGGCTTGTTGATGCCCCCCGCACCTTGGCCTTGCACTCCGGACAGACCACCGAATTCATTGTGTTCAGCTTGGTCTTGCAGCCTTTGGCAGGGCAAGTCCTGAGTTCTTGGAAGCCATCGAAGTGATCCGAATCTTCAGGAACTTGATTTTAGTACCGCAAATCAAACAGTAACAAAGTCCAACTCAATATGCAGGGCTAGAGAGATCGAAGCCTCTCTCTGGCTGTCTGTGGCAAGGGCTTGCACACCTCCGGGCAGAAAGTAAACCAAGCCAACCGCAATGGACTGCAAAAGAGGCACACCGTTGGAGGCATGCTTGTGCGGTACTGCAGCTGATCAACCTCAAAGACCGATAGATGTGCCTTCAATTTGACCGAATCAAAAACCTGCGCACATCGGACTATATCCAGATGCAGGCAGCCAGTGCAAGGCTTCATGAAGCTGAAGCATGAAGGTTTTGGAGTAAACTGACTTGTGACAAGGGGAGCCGCAGAAAGAGAGACCTGAGAGCTTTATGCAGAAGTGCCAGCAGCTTGTCGGTCGCAGGCCTTCAGATGTTCGGTCATGGCCTCCTGCTCGCTTGAAGCCGCGTCTTCCCACTTCACCGTCGTCCCACAGTGAAGGCATAGTGCAGCGACCATACCTGTGCTGAGACACACCCTGTCAAACTTTGTACCTTTCTGAAGCGCTTGCGATCTGCCTTGTGACTGCGTTGCTTGGCCACAGTCGTGCTTGGCCGGGGCCACGTGGTCTTGACAAAAGTTGCGGCTGCAATGAGGGCATGTGAAGGGAAGGAAGTCCCGAAGCCCGCAAGACTCCTTAGATTCTGAGCGAGGAACCGACGAATCGCTCTCCAATAAGGCCCAGGGGCCAAGGAGCAGCAGGCGCCCACCAAGTCGTATCCGTCTGCATCCCGGAAGTCAGTGCTGGCAGCCGGTTCTGCCTTGAACATCTCGCAAGGAGCAGCATCAGCAAGCTGCCATCAAGCGGCCCGGACCCAACAGAGCAGAGGCCCGCATTTGAGCACCGAAGCGTATACAAGTGCTCGATTGCTGAATCACGATGTCAGCTTGTGCTACTGCATGTTTGGCCTGTGCCTGGCGGCTCGGCGCGTTGCAAAACCATCATGGGCCCATGCCACAACGGTGCATGTACTGTACCTTTCTTTGTCACGAGGAAAATGGGCTGAGGCATGGAGGTATGTTTCATGGGCGTCTAATCATCGTCAGCCGACCTAGCATTTGCAGCAGATGGCTCCACTCCGCAAGCCGTGAAATGCAAAGCAGTGCCGGGAGATATCTCGCTTCAAAGTGGCTTGATCAGGCCGGGCTTGCCGCAGCAAGTCGTCGGCCGAGGCTGAAGTTCCTCCGTTTCTCTGGAGAAGAGGCTGCATCCCAACTCCAGAGAACAAGAACTCGCAGCTCTGCAAGGCACCTGTGTACTGCATCGGCGGCCTCGACCAATGACATGAGCAACGAAGTGTCTCATAAGGCCTATCCTATGCACACGCAAGAGTTGGCACAGCTTTTGTCATGGCTGTGGGCTCTGTACGACCTCTGCTCGTGGCTTTCTGCTGGAAGTCATGGTTTTGGGTTTCGAGTCCCAAAAACATGCCAGACACAGCCCTCGGCGCCCGAAGAGCGAATCCACCAAAGACTTCGGTCCTGGTAGGCTGTCGACGACTGTCGCAGAGTCGCAGCCGGCTCGGGTGCGTTTGGCCGCCCAAACCGGCCCGAAGCTGTGTACATGTGGCTGCAGCTCTGAATGAACCACTTTGAGCCTCGTCGCACCTAGTCACTCCTGGCCCTAGCAAGCCGCTCAAAGTCGCAAAGGACCATAAATCGCTGGTGTAGGCTCTGCTTCCGGAGCTGGCTGTGACAACCAACCTGAGTAAGGACATCAGGCTGATTCAGGCTGCACTCTCACTGGCCGAGGCGCCTGTGCCAACGTCAACTCCCCAGTCATCTGGATAGAGGCTGTCCTGGGCCCGTCGTCAGGCGTCCATTAGAGCCGCAGAAAGCCAAATACCCTGCCACCGAGCTTCTGCGGGCTCCGCTGAGGGACCAATTCCTGTCATGGCAACGCCGGCCGGGCTCGGGCCGGTTTCGCGAGGCATGGCGACCTCTTCCGAGTTGGCCTGACACCATGAAGGGCCACGGACCGACCCCTCACGGCTCACGCGCTAACCATGAGCCTACCTTGTGGCCCTTCAAGCGCACCACCCATGCCTCAGTCCACATGGCAGATGGCAGGGGCCGTCGTCAAAGCATGAGATCGATCGCATGCATCCTGCCTCCTCGCAGGCACGCGCAAACCGCGACGTCTTGTTCGTGATCTTCTTGATGGCAATTCCTGCGCCGGACTCATTCATCTGCATCTGGGCCGTGACGGTGAGGCAAGATGCGCTCTTGACAATTGAAAAAGACGATCCTGACGATCGGACCAGTTCACATATGGATTGGAGCTCGTCGCGAACGAACTGCTTCAGGAAGCGTTCGAAATCGGCTTCGACTTGCCACAGATCGAGCACCCTGATGCAGGGCCGTTTTGGATCATGGCAGTGACGACAATACGCGGAGTGGAACACATGCAAAAAATGCATGTCTATGCAGCTTCACAGGCATCAATGTATTCTTGCATTGCGTTTCTTGCAACCACTCATCCTTGCAGCCTTCGATGGATAATCGTATCAAGTCTCGGCCAGTCTGGATCGTGGCTACACGCCGGTCGGTCGAATGGTCGGTCTCTGCACATCTGAAACATGAGAGAGGCACTGATTCTCGATCTGCACGCAAAGCACTCGCAGCGTTGGATGCCGAGCGCAGAAGTGCAAACTATGATCACAACAACGACATAATCCAGATGGAGGTGGTGAAGGAGCACTTTTGGAACAAACAAATCTCTGCCAAGTGGCAAGGTAATGTCAGCCACAAATGATTGCGTAGAGTGTCTCAAGAGCACTGGATGAAGCGGATGGTTGAGGCCAGCAAGCAAATCTTACCCCACCGGTCTACCGCTGCGGAATTGAAGTCGACACTGCAAGTCACAGAGCCCTGGCCACCATCGACTGCAGCCCAGTTTTTGAGTTCAATGGCCTCAGGACTCGTGGCTTCTTCGCAAGCTGCGGAATGCTCAGCTTCTTCTCCTCGGCGTGGTTTGTGTGCCAGTGCTCAGCGTCCGACGCTTTTGAACCAGGCGACACGAGTGGATCGAAGCTCCCGGACCAGCGCCTTCCCAAGTCCACACAGCTCTTCGTCCTCGAAGCCTGAGAAGTTCAGGGATCTTGCGAAGGTATTGCGAGAGAGCTGTGAAGATGCGCCGACAATTGTGGCACCTGAGTCCGGCACTCTCGGCATCCTGCCCCTCCTCTGCATCAAACTCTGCTTGGCCGTGGCGCTGACTCTCTAGCTTGGCCCATTGCTCCATCCTGCACCCACACCAGCAATGAGAGCACTGTCACCCGTACCCATCACAGCTCCTGCGCTTGACTCCTCGCTTCATGGTAGCGTCCACGACGATGGCCTGAAAACTCTGCAGTACGAAGGAAGACGACTTGCCGCCAATTCAGCTGCTGTCCACATGCTGAGGGAAGCCACCCGAAAACTTGCACTCCATCCCTTTTTTAAAATAGCCGCGGCAGTAGGTTCCCTTCGCCGCTGTCGTGCCTCATCTTCTTGCAGTCCAGCGCGAGCTAGGCGCTTCACTCCACAGAGAGGTGTTGGACCTCCCCCCGAGTAGCCCATGTTGACCTAGGAATTTGGTGTTTGCTGGATTGAAAATGCGGCACTAAGCACCCGGCAAGCAACGCATAGCCGATGCCATAGTTGGCCTATTGCATTGTTGTATGCTGAGAGCGAGCAACATGCAAAGGCGCTCATCCCTCAACATCACGGCGGCCTGCAGTTGCTTCGCCGCCAACGGGGGCTGCTCTTCAAGGCGCAGAGCGCGTCGATCAGTCTGGTTCTCGAGGGGCGCCTACGATTTCCAGGCACCAGAATAACCCTGTGACTGCGGGCTGTGCGCTTGAGCTCACCTGCCTCCATGGATGGTACAAAGTCGATGCCTGCAAGCACCTCAAGTCTTTCAAAAGACACTGTAGCACTGTTCAACATCTTTCAGGCACCCATGTATGTCTATACTTCTGGATGACCGTTAGACATCAGAGGTGTCGCCTCATCTGCTTCAGTCACCATGGTTGGGAGATGGTCACAGTCGGAGTAAGCCTACATTTGCCTTGCAGCCTGCAGTCTGGACTTGATGTTGTGGTTAGGCCCGGATCTCCGTGTGCACTAAACAGCAGTCTGTCGTGGCAAATACTGAGGTGGGTGACTTTTCGGACTTGCTGCTGTACCGAGTCACTGAAAGACCTTGCTTACCTTTCAGATGTCTGTAACAGACTCGGGACACAGCTTTGAGCCGCAGCTGCAGTCAACATCTCAGCTGCCGGGCGCAACCGCGGCGCAGAACAACTGAGTCTAACATGCTGAGCTCTAGAACAGGAGCTGTCGGCTGCTAATGCAAAAGCTGCATATTGGGCGGCCACAACATGCCACAACACTGAAGTAGCAGTAGGCGGACCTGCCTGGTCTCGCTCCGCAGCGCAGACAGGGAGCTGGACTGGACAACGTTCCCTGGTCCGAAGCTGCGTCCGTGGTACTCTCGCGGCGTCTCGAAGTAATACTTCCGACTGTTGGCGTAAGTCTCGACCTCAACATATGTTAAAATTGTGTGCTCGAAACCTGAATGCTGAAGCCCCCACCCAACATCAACAACCCCTTACCTTTCAATCCGAACAAGCTATGCCCCCAACCCTTCTCATGCTGCATTTTATTGCATTTAAAAAGGCACAAAAAAAACTATGAACGAAACCACCAACCATTCACTATGTTCACCTCTTTCACTAAGTTGTACCTGGAGCGTAGAGGTGGCTTTGTATAAGCGTAACAAGCGGACGGCGTTTTTTATTTCGTTCATTCACCCTTTGGCACCAGGATTCGGCTGCAAAGTGAGTGTAATGGCAAAAGAACTCATTTAGTTCACATTCCGTTCTCAATGCTTCGCTGAACCTCCTAATCCAGGTTCAAAAGAATCACAAGAAATCCCTAAAGCAAATAACTTGAAGTAAAACACAGAATAAAGACCATGCATAGACTCAAAACCTTCATAAACCGCAAAACCCTGCACCCGCTAAACGCTAAGCCCTAAACCCTGAACCTAATCCCTAAACTCTCAAGCCTAAAGCCCTGACCACTCTGTTTGACCAACCTTTCAATATCCTGAACGAACATTCTGGCCGGCGCCTGAGTCGATGTCTCCCTGTCATCGAAGAGCCGTGCAAAGCCGCAGCACAGACTGGAACATGGTGGCCGTGCAGTCTGAAGTGCGGCTGAAGCGCGAGCATCCACGGAGTTGAGCCGTGAAGAGACTCGCTTGACTGCGCGGGCGTCTCGCTGACCTCGTCTACCCAAGACGAGGTTCAATCCCTGCTTATTCAGAAACTTCGGGCAAGCCAACATCCGCAGCCGAAGCACGCTCAAATCCTCTGGCAAAGGGTCTGCTCCGGTCAGTTCTCTAAGCTCCTGGAGCGACAGGATCACTTCGATCTCAGGATGTCCAATCACATCCACCTGACCTCGAACCTCTGCTGCCAGAAGGTCGCGTCTCGCAAGGACCTTGCCAACCAAAGACATGAGCAGCCATTGCCCGAATGCACCTGGAGGTGGAACTAAGCCAGTGGCGACATAGAGAAGCTTCGCTTCTGTCTCTCCACTGCACTCTGCGAGTGCCACAGGCCTGTCGTGCTGAAGCCTCAGATCGGTGTCGGCTACTGCAACAGCCGCTCTGTTCAAACGCCGAAAACAGAAGAATAAAGAGCCGAATTGCCCAGGTCTGAAAAGCCTTGAAAACACCGGTCTGAAACATCGTTCTGCCAGTTGCTGCGACTGCTAGGATACCACTCAAGAAAAGGTCATGGTCATCGGTACATTAGGCCATCGACCTGGGCGTGGACGCATGGCGCTCTTGCCACCGCTAAGCCTCTGAAACGAGATGCATGCTTTTCTTTGGGCGCCTTTCCTCTTACTCTGGCGGACTGCTCTCATCGGAATCGTCATCGGAGTTTCATCTCTCAACCCTCTCAGCTGGCCTTTCTGCCAGATCGAGGCAGGTGAGGTTTAGACCTCGGATCCCACCATCGCCAATAAGGAAACGAGCTCCATGGGAGGCTGTTGATGCAAAATGGAAAGGTCCGCGACCAAGCAGATCAGTTTCGTCTAGGGCAGGGTGCGTATTTGCTACTTGGAGAACGGAGGCCCGGGCGACTGCACTGCAACTCAAAGAACTGACACTCTTCGAGCCGGCTCTCGTACTCCTGCAGACAAACCCATCACTGCTTTTCCCTACAAGCTTGATGGGAGCCTCTCTCAAGCGCTGGAACTCATCAAAGGCGTCGCCGTAGGCAGCACTGACCAAGTCCACCTGGAGAAGCCGAGGACCAACAGAGACACCGCTTCGGGTCTCGGAGGTGTCGGAGGTGGGCCGGGACTCCGAGCGGTGCCCTGCAGTTGCTGTATTCGCTGCACGGCCTGACAGGTCAGATACGGTGAGCCATTTCAGAGGACTTGGGGGCCGGAAGTAGCCATGCGCAAATCTTCAGATGGCTCGAAAATTGCAGCTTGAGTATTCGGAGCAAGTAGCAAGATGGCACCAGCAGTTGTAAAATCTTGACAAGCGGACTGGACTGCAAGAGTGGCCGTAGTATGTCGCAGCGAAGAATAATTAGAGAACTGCTTGGCTTAAGGCCCCTGGAGCTTTGTCGTAGATGCACTGCGCTCCTTCTCACGGTGAACTGATGAAAGTATGAAGCATGCACGCAGCGTCCCCGAAGCCATGCAGGAATATTTCAGAATGCAACCATTTACGTTTATTGCAGAATCCCACGAGGCACATCTCGTTCTGAAATTTTTGAGATCTCGAGACCTCATGTGCTAAACCCGTGGCTCCTGCAGAGAAAGGCTGTTCCTACATACGTCTCTACATTTTGCTCTGGCCGCCGCACATGAGCAAATTTGTTTCCACGGCCAAGCATTGCAAGCACTATGACGACAAGTGGTGACCGTGAAAAATGCCAGACAACACACTACGAAACGCCCAAGCACGACAGGTCGAGAAGCAAGCATGCGAAGCTACAGCTCAAAAGCTTTCAGGTGGCGAGGCGGGCCTGCTTAAAGCGCTCTTCGTCGTCACATGGAACCGTCCCAACCTGCTGCAGCAGTGCTCTCTCCGAGCTAGATTGCCGACAACACCTACAACTCAGCCAACAGCCTGCATTAGTGCGTCAGGCGGAGACAAACGCATCTCAAGGTTCCGCTACAAACTTCGAGGTCTTCACTGAACTTGGAATTCAGGGGCAAAAGGACCCAAGGCGCTCGAATTCTCTCTTTCCATCTCTGGAAGGCACCTGCTCCGGAGGCCCGATTCCTCGCAGAGGCAAGCACTTCTGCCCGCATAAGGAGCACCCAATCTGCAAACCCTTTCCTCGCTCTGGAGAGCGACCATCATCCACCTGCAGTTCTCCACGAGATTAGTCACGACCACCAAGAAACTGACGCTTCAAGATGCAACTGTTGAGCTATTTGGAGCTGTGGCTCGTCTCTCTTCGAATGCGAGATGCCAAATGCATGCGAATGTATTCCTGAGTGTACCGAACAGTTGGCCAAGAGCGGCTTAGCCTATGCGTTTCTCATCCCCTAAGCTTCAAAGCCTAAACCGTGGAACATGCTTTAGACTTCTTCTTGAGCCTCTAAGCGTTTAACGCTTCCAAAGCTTGCTCGCGATTACATCCAGCCAAGGGCTGATGCTTTACTGCAGATGCTTTGGCTCTGTAGGTGCTGGCACGGTTCATGGTGCCTTTCGGGGCTTAGGCCTTAGGCGCTTTTGGGTTGACCCGCCCTACGACACTCACCCACATTACTGTGTCACTCACTGACAGACTCTTAGAGCTCGATCTTCCGATCCTCCTTCGCACCGCGCCGCCCTGCAGCACCGGCCGCGGTGACCGCCGGTAACCGGGCGCAGCCGGGCCCCTGAAGGAGTCCTTGAGCCTCCAACGAAACGCAAATCTCTTGAAATCACCCCGTCACTTGCACTGTTCCCATCAGAATCAACGCACAGTGCGGAAGAGGCGAGCCACCTCTCTGCTGTAGTAGTAGTAGTAGTAGTAGTAGTAGGAGGAGTAGCGGTAGCAGTAGCAGTAGCAGTAGCAGTAGGAGTAGGAGTAGCAGTAGGAGTAGCAGTAGTAGTAGCAGCAGTAGTAGTAGTAGTAGTAGTAGTTGTTGTTGTTGTCGTCGTCGTCGTAGTAGTAGTAGTAGCAGTAGTAGTGGTGGTACCAGTAGTAGTAAGTAGCAGCAGTTGTCCGCAGTCTACTCACATGTGCAAACAGTGCGAAGTTCGGTCCTGCTTGAGGGCTTCTTGCGTGGCAATGTCCAGCTCAACGACCTGAGCGTTTTTTTCGATTAGGTTCTGGAAAGAGACTGGAACCCTGTAAGTCGCCATTGTAGCCTGTACTGGACTGCTGCACTGCACTGGGGCGAGAACCAAGGAAACAGGAACTGCACCGGAAGCTTCCTCTGCTCAACATGTGGACCAAGAGCAGGTGGCATAAGCTGGAAAGTGTCAACCTGCCTCTGTTTTTTTCACCTCGCCTCACTCTTCAGGCCGCTTGACTGATTGTAAATGAGTGTTCATGACAACATCCTACACACAAAAACCTACATGTCTGACCCAGCTGTTCATGCACACGCGTCCTTTGTTGGGTTGGGTCTTATACTTCTAACTACTTCCATAGATGCTGGTAAGTAAGATATGCCGCCCGCTGTTATGCACGAGTCAGCGGAGCTGGCTACAGCAGGACGGGCAAAACAACAGAAGGCAACTGGGCATAATGTATGCCACTGTAACCTTCAACACTATGGGAGTTGTCTGCTGGTTCCCACACAGCAGTCGCACAGACTGCTTGTACCGCACGTGTCCTCGTTCCTACTTTCTTGCCCGCTCTGAGTCTCTGTGTTACTCAGTTACAAGGTTGCGACTTGTGCCACGGCCGGTGATTCGCACTGCCTCTACAGTACAAGGCTGCTCCGAGCTACTCTAACGCCGCTCTGGGTGCTACCCGTAGTCTACATCTGCTCTTGGTTGGCGGCAGGTCTGTCAAGGAAGCTTCGGATTCTTGGCATGTCCCCTGCCCTCTTCAAACTGCAGATGTTGAACGAATGCGAAGCACACCAAGATTTTGGTGGTGGGTGCCGAGTTTTTTGGAGAGACGGTGCTGTAGATGCGCAGGGGGTACCTGCTTTTGATTGAAGTGGCTGATTCGGCATCGTCAAGCCCACGGCAGAAGCGGTGTGCATTCCCAGTCCTTCGCAGGCTGGCTCGTCAAGCTCTGCCTCCCCAAATGCCCCGGATTCCCAATGCGCAACATGAAAGTGAAGATCCAGAAGCTGAGGTGCCAGCACCGTGCTGCTCACTCCCTCGCAAGGTGTGAGTTGGGGGTGACGTGCATTGGATAGCACACAGAACTTCACGTGAAACTCGGCCTGGCTTGCGCCGCCTCAGTCGATAGGATTCCCCAACGCCGGCAATCCTAAACCTTATAGGGCGGCGGCTGGGGTCTCTCTGCGTCCGTTCGATTGCACGCGAGAGGCTCTCCTGGCATTGTGTAGGATGGCAGAAACCGTTCGCAGCCGCTCGCTCTCGCGGCTCGCGGTCCTTGGCCCGCATGAGCTCCTCGACTTCCTCTGCCATGCGCCATGCATTGACACAGAGACTTCAGCTGCAGAGCTGCATTCTCTCCTTCGCCATCTTTTGGAAGTAGAACCAAGTCTTGCTCCTATAGAGATTCCGAAACAACGCAGATGCGCCGCACGCCCAAGACTTCAGGCTGGCGTACGAGCTCTCGTCGTCTGCTTCGACACTGGCTAGAACCTGCTTCGGCGAGGCAGGACTCGAAAGTGGCTTCCCACACATCCCGCAACCTCCGAGCTGATGGAAGGTGGCGAAGGCAGGGCCTAAGGAAAAACGCCCCTGCTCTCATCTCTCAGCGTGCATCCTGCCCACTGCCGAGCTACCCTTTCGCCATCTCCCAAGCCTCCCAAAAGCCAAAATGCGATGCCCAGACAGGAAGTGGCTCAGATACGCTGCGAGGCACCTGCAGGCAACACTGGCCTCAAAAGCAGTGCCAATGCTTACGCCGAGTTCTTGTGGCTTGTGAGGCATGGATAGGCTACGAGACTTTAGCATTTCTTCAAGACTGGAGCGCCATGGAAGCTTCACACTGTGGCTCGAACTGTCCGGGAACCCGTGGCCAACCTCGCACGCAGCAGCAAGAGCCGGATCCTCGTGCGAAATTGCGACATGATGCCAGCGCCTGCTGGATCCAACGCTCGCAGTTCTTCGCCTGTGGCACATGCAAGGCAACCTGCTCTGTGATGAGACCTGCGGTGACAGCATTATGTACCGACTTTGGGACTCCCGCGCAGTGCCCAGTTCTCTGCGATCATGCGCTGCACCTCGTTGGCAGACTGGACGCACAGAGTTGAGCAGGTATCCAATTTATCCCGTCGCTTGGGCCTGGCCTCTGGATGATTCTCCAATTGCCTGCCGAGGCCGCAGCCGAAGATCCCAAAAAAATTACGTGAGCCTTAAGCCCTAAGCCTGAGCTGGCCCGAGGAGTGCTAAAGAAGCCTATTTTTGTTGCGGACATGGCGCCTCCTGAGCATGCGGTTCTCTTCTCGAATGAACTTCGCTTCATCGCCCGAGATGGCAGCCTGGTCCTGGCGGACATGGGCTTCACAGGCTCTCTCTCTCTCTCTCTCTCTCTCTCAGTTGCACCGCGTCGACCCCTCGCTGGAAACCGCTAGAATGCTAGAAACAACGAATTCCAAACACGTTGGATGCGAGACTCACCTCGATGCTGTCCATCGGCCTTGGCCACGAACTAAGCCGCAGCACAGCATACAGTAGCCACTTTGCTTCTGCGTCTGACAGCATCGCGAACCTTTTTCCGGAAAACCGGCAGATTTGGGGGAGCTCCTTCACGTGGACATGCTTTGGTGTCCACGAGACTTTGGATGTGCACTACCGTTGATGGAGGTGGGGCAGCACCCCGGGAAGGCTGCGGGTCCAGCCGACCATATCCGAAAGCTCTTGGGCAAATTGGAGGGAAGCTTTCGCTCCATCGCAATCGAGGTCAGCTCCAGGAATGTCAGATCTGACAAAAACGCCAACCAGCACTTTCGTGTTCTTGTCCCTTCGAACCTCGGCTCGGGAATGGTCTTATCCGTTGCTTGCAAACTATTCAGACAAATCTTCTCTATTGGTGCCCGATCAATCGAAACTGGAATCCCAGTGTTTTGCCGACGGACAGAAATCCGTCGGATGAACTCCAGCATCGTCACTAGCATGATGCCATCCTCGCACATGCAGGCTACTGGACCTCTTTCCTTTCTTTCCATCCAGTAGTACACAGCACCATCAGTCCTGACCATGTGATAGCTGTTCCGCGTAGCCTCAGCGATGGCAATGTCGGTTTCGCGAACGACGCGTCAACCGAACCCAAGCGCTCGGCTCTCTTCGGCATCCTTCGGCTTTAGGAACTTGAAGATGTCATAGCCCTAACAATGACAAGGAGAACATGCGACAGTTGTCGCAAATGCGCGAACCACAGGGCAGATCAAAGGGAGCAATGTCCAAGGGCCCGCCGTCTCGCTGATCTTGCTGCCCTCGGAGTAATCAACGATTTGGTTGTCCTTGCCCTTCACCTTCGCGGCTGTAACAACCCCGCGGTCCAAGAGATCCGAAATTGAATTCGCCTTCAGTTCTTCCGGAGGCCACAGATTGATTATGGAGCCGGGTGCCGACAACTGGCTTGTCTTTGCCCAGTACCCAAGGTAGCCTGACAGAAAGGGACAGAAACCTTTAGAGCCATGCGCCACTGCTGTGTTCGTCTACCGAGAGCCTTTCATGTCGTTCAAGGCTTCGTTGATGAAGAAAGCTTCTTCCACGATTGGCCCAATAGCTGATGTGAAGTAAGTTAGATGTCGAATGAACTCGTTGTTGTTGTCCCTCAGAGCGACATTCCCAGAGACGCGTTCCATTTTGCAAGCTCGTCTAAGGCCCTAGTGGTCCTAGCAAAGCCGTTTCAGACGAGACACAGAGCGACCTGCGAGCCAATCACTTCCTTCATTTTTTCGAAGAACATTTTGCGCGCCTTTTTCCAGTTCTTCACCTTCTCAAGATGGCAAAGAAGGCAGCATTCCTCCACCTGGCCTCAACAGTCACCAGCGAATAAGCTACTGGCGTCGTCTTTGTCCTGCCACTTCCCATAGTTGGGGTCTTTCGGGCCGCCCGTGCATCGGGTCAATGTCTTGGGGATTTCGGTATCGACTTTTCCCTTATACTGGCCCTTCGCCGTCTCGGTGTACCTAGGTTGAACTGAAACTGCCCCCAGTCTTCTCCGAACAGGCATGAACATATGGACCGTCTGCATGCTAGACATCACACCGGCCTTGACACAGTGCCTCGCTGCTTGCCAAGTTGCGAATTGCTGTTGACTTTTGATCCTCGGTGCTTAGCTCAACTGGCGCAGGATCTGCCGCAGAAGCACGACAGCATGCGGATTGAAACCTCGCTAGGGTTCACGGAGTGCCTGGCTGGGAGGCCTTCGCTTTCAGCTTGTGACCATTTTTCTGCAGAGGCGCCAAGAAGCACGAAGTCCATCACACCAACACCTTTATGGTTCCTGGACCACAGTCGTTCTGCCCAGGTCATGTCAAAGTCGTCGTCCCCTCGGCAAGCATCCATGAGACGAATCGACAAGATCCAATCTTCAGCACACCGCACAAGCATGCACCACTGATGCTCGGAATGGTAACGATTTAACATCGAAGAGGCTGAACGGATTTGTCTCCATACGCTTCGGGGAAAGGCCCTCTACTGGTCCTGTTTGCAGATGGATCAGCATGCAAATGTGACCAGGCAACAAAAGCGGTCAAAGCCCAATTGCACACAAGCTCCAAGTCGCAATAGCCACGACGTCAGGTCTATGAGTCGACCGACGACTTTCGAAATTCTCAGCAAACCGCGTCCTTGTTCATACGCTGCCAGAATATCTTCTCTGCTGAAGGTGGCGCCCTTTTTTTGCGCAATGTTCCTCATGGACACGCATGTGCTTCCGCACCTACAGACATGTTCACCTGTGGGCAGTAAAAAGATGCACAAAAGCATGAAGAGACTGACAAACAGAGCGAAGACGGACCCCTGTCATGGGGGCGGGGGGGGTGACCACTGAACTCGGTTTGACCTTGTTCTGAAGCTTTCGCTGGCAATCAGTGTGCATCACTTAGTTTTTTGCTGCAACAAACTGATTGCTGTGGAAAACACGTTCTGTATAGGGACAATACTGTTCGCAATAGAAGCATAATGGAGTTGTACTTCATGCTTACTCGCGGCTTTCCTAGCTCGTAGAAGTACCCCCAATCGCCTCAAGTAGAGCATCAATGTTACCCTGAGGCCAAACATAGAGCAAACAACTTGTGCAGCTTAACTTAGATCCCTACTCGCCCCTAAGAATGAGCAAAAATAAAAGAGAAATCCAAAGGAAAGCCCAGAAGACCTGTCTTGTCTGATCGCTACCAAGCCACAGACCGTCCTTTTTGGATGGAAACCTGAGCATCATTCAGGAAGGTGGGCGGCTTGCACCAGAATGTTACCTGCGTGGCACCAGTTTCCACTAGTCAACAGTAGTAGAAGATACTTGTGACTCAGCAGATGGGGCAGACCGGAAACTGAAAAAATCACCCCGTCGCCGTCATCATCATCACAACCGTCATCGCTGCCATCATTTGCAAGCTCATCTTGACCACCATCATCGCCATCCTCACCAGCATCAGCCTCAGCCTCAGCATCAGCAGCAGCAGCACCACCACCACCGTCGCCGCTGTCCTCATCTGTATCAGCATCACCATTATCGCTGTCATCAGATGTGCTCATCCTCACCATCACCTTATCAGCATTAGCTTCATCACTATCAACCATTACCATCACCATCGCCATACCACTATGAATGGCAGCAGCGACAGTGGCTCGCGTGCTTGAGTCCGACAGTCCAGAGGCCGAAGTCATTTTCTGAAGATGCAAATCGAAGCCTAGGAGTGGGCGCTCAAAGCCCAGATGGTCCACTACTCTGGCCATCATCTCTTGGAAGATTTGGAAGATGATTTTGTTTGGCAGCGTTGGCGGTCCACGACAGTCCCACGACGTGTTCTGCCGTTGCGAGCAAACAGAAAGCTTGTCACTCCTTCATTTCCTACCTTGCTCTTGACTACAGATTCGAAAAGCACTGACGATCCCACTCTTCACTTGCGAAGCGACGATCCTTGCGGGGAGACGCAGGCTCTAAGGAGCAGACATGAAGGATGGATCCAGGTCCACTCCTCGGTCGTCCTGCAGGAAACGGAGCTGCTGTGCGGCGTTCCCAGAGACGTTTCCGCTTTGTGATCTCAGAGTGCACAGGTGCCTGTTCAAGCCATTTGTCGTTTTTGTCCAGTTTGGGTACAACCATCTCCTTCTTTCCACCTGCAGAAGCTCGGAGATTTGAGCCAGGGAAGGTCTACACGTTCTCTGACCCCATGCTGAACATCTGCTGTCAAGCAGCTCGGCAGAATGATGTTCACACAGCCACGTGCCGGCTTCACGGGGTCGCACTCGACAAGGACGTCTTTCAGTTTGTAGCACCAAGACAAAGGTCCAGACATCAGATCCCAGCTACTCAGACTTGCCAGATACCTCAGACTCAAACACTCACTTCCCTGTGCACATCAGAAGGTGCTCACATGTGCTCATAGTGCTTCCTGCAACCAGGCAGCTTGGCCATCAACTCTTTGGGCATTTTGCCGTTGCGGGGATCGCACAAGCCTTGTCCTGGGATGAACACCATCCAAGGTGGAAGTCCCCGTCTGCTGTCCGGCCTCGAGGATTTTCGTTGTTCTTGAATTGCAGAAAACCGGACACCATGACCTGAGCTGGAGTGAGCACGAGAGAAGGACAGCAGCAAGTGCTCAAAGAGTGCTCTGTTTCTATGCCGTCCCGGCTGCAGCCGGGTCTTCAGAGCCTGCCAAGTCGACCGTGGAGACTGGTGCCATCTTTCCTGCGCGAATAAACGAGGGCATAGCAGCGTAGTGCAGGCACTGGAAAACCAGCGCAGACCGTTTTTGAACTCGATGTTGGTCAGCACGAACAGCGTTCCACGAGAAGACTTCGGATTGTTCACCGTGCCGCCTGGGCACAGATTCGCGTAGCATGCATCCCGGCATGCTGATGCCTTGGCTCCCTGCGGATGTGGGCAATGGGCTCACCACCTGCCTTAAACTGGTCTTCGTCCAGGCGGATGTCCTGGCACTAGGAAGCGGTGCAGACCTACTGCAACAGGGAAATCAGAACTTCTGAGCGCACCTCGATGACAGTGAGCACCTCCTTGACTTTTTCATGCCAAGGAATAGTGCCAGCCATTGATGGTGGGCTTTCTGCCTGGCATCGCATCGCTGGCACTCTTCGCTCCATTGCAACCTCTTTCGGAAGATGAAACCTTGATGCTGTAGGTGAAGGGATCTTGACAGGCTTCATCTTTGCTTTTGTGGGCACAAGGGTCCAGCTTCTCCTCTAGCAATGTGAGGTTCAGGCTTCCCGAGCCTTGGCTGTGCAGAATGCCCACGTGCAACCACATGCAACACATGCAATGTGCTCGCGCCGAGTTGCGAGGCTGGTCCTCGTCCTCGGGGGCTTTGCGAGGCTGGTCCTCGTCCTCGGGGGCTTCTTCTTCAAAGGCCGTTGATTGTCCCAGGTACACGGCAGTCTGGCGCAGCAAATGCTCACATGAGACACGTGACAGGCTAGACATCCGACTCAAGGGCGATCTTGATGCCTTCTCCCGCAGTCGATAGCCCCAGATACCAGACCCGGTCTGGGCTTTCATGTAGCCATCCTGTGCGCTGATGCGTCCGTACACCTGCACGGGCTCAGAACCACTGATTTTCATTCCCTGCCCGTGTCTTCAACAGAAGCCTCGAAGATTTTCACCTTAACATCCTTAGGACAGGGCAAGACTTCGCAGTCATGTTCAGTAGCCTTTGCTTGCTTCGGCAGTCAGCGAGACCCTATGCATCTAGGTCTCATCGATTTTGTTGGCATTCTCTTTGAGGTAGAGTGAAAGCACACCGTCGATTCCACGGCCACCTCCAACAGGTGCCGTCGCATCGCCAATCCTTTCAAGCATGGCAATGCCGTGAAGCCGAGTGAATCTGACAGAAACCAAAGGCTTTTCCTGGTCTACCAAAGTCTTGAAACACCACGCCTACACCGCGATGTCCAGTTTAGACGGGAGGCAGTGTAGTGGTCTTTCCAGCGCCAGAATAGCCATAGCTGATCATCATCATGCCTTCGCCCACCTCGGCCTGTTGTTCAGAGAGCAAAGTGAAGGCGTTCTCTCCGGAGTCTTCAACAGCACATCTAAACATCCTGCGGACTGATCGTACTGGGATGAGCCACGTACCATTACGTACTTCACTTGTGTTCGCGGTGTCATTGTAAGCCCCTGAAGACCTCGCGGAGCATCTCCCAGAGTGGGGGATCAAGCTTTCGATTTTGCGGAAGCGAATAGAGCATGTCGTCTGGATCCCAACCTCGGTCTCAGCTGAAGGAACTCGAGAGCCGGGGGGGGCAGGGTACATTCAGAGTGCTCCGACTATGGCCTGTGCATATGGTAGTGACCTTGTAGTGATATGGTATGACCGAAGTTCAAGAGCACAAACTGCCACTATGTGTAAATAGGAATGCAATTTGAGAGTCCTGACCAGTAGCGGTCGCTGGGCATGCGATTTCCCTGATCGCAGCCCACTCGACATGTTTCGGGCTTGGGTTCTTGGCATCAAAAGGCAGCTGCAAGTTTTGTTATGCTGATGTCGCCGGTACCGATTCTCAGCACACTGAGGCGAAGGCTGGTCTCTCCTAGATCGATGCTGCCCCTCTTGCCCTTGAGCTTCTTCCATTCTCTGCTTCTGGAGTGCGTAAGAGGTGGAGGCGTGCCATAAATATAATCCTCAGTGCGAAGTAGAGATGCCTCAAGCCTCAAACAGTCATCCGTGCAAGCTTCGCAAGCCAAGACACCGCCATGCCCCGGTTGAACTGGCCTCTGAAAGCAACCGCCTCAGGAATTTGCCACACTTCAAGCAGCACGAGACGTGATGGTCAAAGGCCTGCGGCTCCGCACATTGCTCTGCGGCAGGGCCCTCTTCTTTAGCTATGCATTCCTGCTTCTCCTGCCGCCAAAAGGGAACGCATCTCAGCAGGCTTGACATACCGAAGCAACAGAGCCTTCAAAGAGTGGTATCCGAAGAGGTCTTCCGCAGGGTGGCTGAAGACACCCCAAAACGGTCCATACCTGATTTGCGGGGCCAGTCTTTCCGGTCAACACAGCCCAACATGGATAGGAAAAGAATTGGATGCCACCATGCTGCAGCCTGCACTTGCCGGTGCTGATGTCACCATTGCCGCACATGGAGTACATGAAATCGTGCACCTCCGGATCCTCTGTGAGCTCGCAGTTTTCCAACACACCTTTTCGGACTGGCGGCTCTGTCCGGACTCGGTTCTTCCCGCATCCGAAATAGCGAACCACTCGATTCCTTCCGGGGCTGGCCAAACGCAAGGCTACACATCGTCACACCGACGCGCCTGTCTCCGGGCTCATCAGATCTGGCACAAGCCCTTGGTCAAGTTTGAACTTCAGTTTGCGAGAAGATACGATGGTCTCAAGCACGCCAGCCTTCTTCCTTACAAAAAGTAGCGAACACCAATGAAAACATTGCAATCTTTGTGCTTGCACACTTGTCACCGAAATCTTCGACGCCAGCCACTGCAGATGGAACTGGGTTTGTCAGACAAGGATACAAAGAGGAACAGTTGCTGTGTGACTTGGGATTGCATCATGGTCCGATGCGGCTATAACACAGCCGCCCTTTCCTTGGGTTCCTCTGGCGTCTGTCTAGTTGAGTCGCGGGGATTCATCTCAGTGTTTAGGGGTAATTTGAGGGCACATGGCCGTCCTGTCAAGGTCACATGTTCCGGTTTTGTCCCCCCTTTTGCAGTATCCTACAGAACAAGAAGAAGCTAACTTTCCCCGGCTCATGCACACGCGCAAAAATCCGAGTGGTGATTTCCCACGCAACAAAAAAGATCAAGCAGGCGGCCTGGAAAACAAGCATATGGAGTAGTTGTGATAAACTTTTGCATAGCTTCCTCTTGCTTTCCCTCTACCTTCCTCTTTCGCTGCCTATTGTATGGTTGGTCTTAGTGTTGTTGTGTATGGTTGGTCTAGTGTTGTTGGTGTCTGTGTTATGTTTCTGCTCGTCGTCTGTCTCTGCTCATGCAGTCTCACGGGCTGTAAAAGCTGCTTATCAGGTTCACCAACGACCCAACGAAGCCAAGAAGCATCACAGCGGACGGGAACTGCTCCTGCTCGTACGGAATGGCTCCCACGCATTTCTTCCACTCATCCTGCAGTGTGGTCTGCCAATGTCTGCCAAGCTGAACGCAGCCATAAGCTAAGTGCGCTACTTTATCTGATGTGCTTTCAGGAATCCACATTAGCCACCAGCCTACAGACTCTTGTCGACAATTTTCTTGGGAACTGTGCAGGAGCCAGAATCAGAAGGCACAGGCACAGTGTTTGTGGAGCTTGCTGGCGAAACAGAAACACAGCAGCAGTCCTCGTGGGCCCTCGTCATAAAAGACTTGGAATCTTGCCCCGGTGGGACTTCAATCTCAGATGCGCGCAGCTTAGTGTGCCTACCGTTTAGACTTCCGCATCGGAGAGTAAGCTTCCATAGGTTGATCGCTACTACATTTGCAAAAGAGAAGCGCGACACTGAGTTGTGACCTTGATGAAAATTCGCACAGCTCCCCAAGACTCCTGGCAGAAGGATTCTTTCACAGCCAGTCTTTGAGAATCCTTACGAGAGGCTCCGCAGAGAATCTTCCTCGCTTGCACGGCGGGAGGTCTCCAAACCGCCGGGCAGCTTTACGGCCCGAGCTCATACCATGACTGGATGCAAGGAGTGCGCATACGCTTGCCGTGGCAAAGGCAGGCGAGATGCAAGCAAGATCACAGCAGCTACGACAACTAGCTGCAGGCGACAATGCTATGCCGAACCACAACGGAAGCAGCCACGTCTCCTGCCACATATGCCACAGATGCACCGGATCCTTCACTTCCGGCGTGCCCTTCTCCACCTTGCTTGTCCGTAGTGTGAGGAAGAACATCGGACTTTGTCCGGATTCTGCGATGAACGGCATAGCTGCAGCCCCGTCGCTGCTTGCACATCAACCAAAAACTTGCGCATGCCATGGCAAAGATCACCTGAATCCAGATGTGACATCGCAAGCTCGGCTCGCGCTTTGCCTGAATCCTTAACATGCGGGAAGACTGGACCACGACGAGGCACCTTCAAGTTCCTCCAGCCTTTCACGTGCTTGTCCTTCGGAACGAAGAAGAGCACTGGGCAGACCCAAATTAATGAAGTCGATGTACCTGGCTCGGTGAGACTCCTGTGAACAGCCGAAGCCACTATACCAGATGCTAGCCTGCAGTACCATAGACAGCTGGGGCACTCTGCTTTGAGGAGCTGCGCGTTGGTAAAGTTCACCTGCAAAGATCTGCAAAGCTTCCTACCAGACGGAATATGAGAAGGCAATTGCCACCAACTGCGAACTGCTTCAAACCTTCGACCCGCTCAGCATGATTACCCTAGATTGCAGGCCTGGTGCTGAATTACACCGCTGCAAGAGAATCAGATGCAAGACGGACACATGTGATCGCACAGATTTGAGGTGATCATGGTGGATGCAGGATGCGCGTACTTAGATCTGTGGACACTTTGCAGGAGCATTCTGACACACCATCAGCACTGTGGGATTATCTGCCACTGCACAGGAGGTGGAATGGCTCCCGAAGCTGACGGCAAAGGGCTGCACGTGGACTGTTTCAGTGACTATCATATCTTCATGCACATGCTGGTGTTGAGCTCAGATGCCGACCGACATGGGCATATTTGCTGCACTGCCGTCAAAACCGAGCTCATCTTCTTTATTTCCAATGCTGCGCTCGGCACGCATTGATTGCCTCGTTCATGTTTTCAACGCCACTTCACTCATGTTCTCCCACGCCAGAGAAGCGAGTTTATGGGCTGGAGAACTCGCAAATCTTCTGCAAAAGAAGGATTCTTCCCAGTCTCGGCTCTCGGGCGGCGAGAAAATGGAAGAGGGAGGGAGGGGAAGCGGGGGAGAGAGAGGAGACAGAGAGAGACAGAGAGAGACAGAGAGAGACAGAGAGAGACAGAGAGAGACAGAGAGAGAGAAAGGCAGAGAGACATAGAGAAAGAATGGCGAAATGTGGGTGCCGGCGCAGGACCCTTCGGTATCAACGACAAGCCGAGCCTGAGGTAACCAGCCCAAACACACTGCACCTGCGAACCGGAAGACTGCGCCCGAAAAAGGCAAGCTTCCTATGAAAAGATCAATCTCGACCAACCAATCCCCCACCTCTTGATAAATTCAAGTATTCGCTGATTCTTAGACCGCGGTCTGCCCTACTACTGTTTGGGCAAACTGCTAAAGCAGACACAGCTCAAGCCTCTCTCCGCTAGCTTTCGTGAATTTTTTGCCGTGAGCCGAGGCCAACATGACAGTCAGTGCGCAAGCCTCGTCCGAGGCCTTCAGAAGGTGATCACCGAAAGTCCTGCCATGGCAGATAGGACCAGGATGACGTGACCGACATCTTGTCGCTAGAGCTCAGGCAGTCCACCCTGTCAGATGCTCGTGGCACTAGAGTTACTAGTGGTCCATCACCTCGGGCGCTTAGGAAAGCATACAAGAGTTACACCTGATCTTCCGCAAGATTCCCGACTCTCGCATGGAAGATTGAACAACCGCAGAGAAAAAAAAACATCGAATGATGAGGAAAAAAAGACATGACATACGAAGGACAGACCAGTACTAGCTCCAAAAAGGAGGACATCGGCTCTGAGGAGGCCCCGGTCCAGGCAAAAGCTTCGTTGCTTTGCAGCTTGGCCATGTCTGGAGCCACATCAGCGACCTACAAACAAACAGAAGCAACCGAGTGGAACAAGACAAGACCCGCTGAGTTTACCCATTGAAAGCTCCGCATGCAGCAGCGTTTCATCTGTTGGGCTGCCCACGTTGTTTCGGAATTTTGCGATGACTCCGGCAAGCTCCTGGACTTCAGAGAGAACAGAAGCCTACATCGATATCGATGGTTACCTGAAATTCCCTTGCAGGACCTCCCACTTGAGCCGCTTCGCCAAAGACGTGAGCAGCAACCAGCCCTCGAAAACGGGCATGAACTTCGCGGCAACCCTCAGTGTGGAGATCTTGCGAACGGTCTGTCCAGTACGGTCCCAGTGTTGAAGTCTTTCTCAGCCCTCGGCTCGGAAAGGAAGCACTTCCCGGAGATTTCCGTCTGCACGGACACCTCCTCCGCCTCCTCATCCTCCAGCTCTTTGCCCTGCCGAGCAAATCAACTTGGACGGCCAACTGGCTGCAGCTCCCTGAAAGGCCTTGAAAGCTTGCTGTGGCGCCTGGCACGTTTCCATTGCTGCGGTTCGCTCTACTTCACATGTCGAGGCGGAATTCATGTCTGGCAGGCCGAAGGGAGCGTCGTTGTGGTTGTTGCTTCGGTCGGCTCCGCAAGGGTTGTAGTTGTAGTTTCACCAGTTCCAGATGTTGCGTGTCTCTCCTGGGCAACAGATGCTGCCTTCGAATGCCTTCGGCTTCGCTTGCAGGTGCCTCGCCGCCCGACTCAACCGCTACACCGGTTCTCGTCTCCTGACAGAGGTGGAGCTCTCCAACACCATGCGCGAAGTCCACTCCCGAGCTGAAACCACTTTCAAACGACTCAGTTGGATTGAGCAAGCCGTATGGCACGGCTACACCGCTATTCGATATGATCCAACACGAAGAGCACTACAGAGCAGTGACTCAAATCGCCGCTGCCAAAATCGGAAGAAACCTCCGGCTTGGAGTTTGCTGTGCTAACCTAGCACGGCAGCTGCCTCCGACAATTTCTCCAGTTCCTCCTTCATGCTGTCTTGATTTTTGACCATGGCCTGGCATGCTGAGATACTCTATTGGAAAGCTGAAGCGAGCAGGCTTGAACACATATCCTGTCCTCTTGGTTTCTCATCACTTCCTGCCGCAGGATCACATTGCATCAAAGTGGCTGGAGTTGGAGACAGGCAGCCAGCGAAGTGTTGTGCCGCTAGTCATGTTGGTCCTTTTCCATTCTGATAACCTCCTGCAACACCGAAAAATTTCCCACTCGCATCGCAGCACATGCAATCCAAAATCGGAAGCGCAAAGACATTGGCCTGGATCCTAGGATTCAATGATGTACTTGTGTCCTTGTGCCAGTCGAGCACATCACATGCTTCCCACTTCATTTCTCGGCTGTGTGTTTCAACTGCCTCCTCCGACAACTTCTCCAGTTCCTCTTTCATGCCCTCTTGATTCCGAACCATCGCCTGGCACGCTCTATGCCTGTCTGATTTGAGGACCCTTCCAACGACGAATATGGCAACTTCTCGAAGACATCCAGTCCTTCTGGTTGCTCATCACTTCCTGCAGCAGGATCACATTGCACCAAGTGTTTGGAATGGGAGACAGGCAGCCAGCGAAGTGTTGTGCCGCTAGTCATGTTGGTCCTTCTCCATGCTGATCACTTCCTGCAAATGACAGAAACGGATGCGACAGCCCAGCATGCCATCCAAAATCGGAAGCACAAAGAGATTGGCCTGGAGGCTTGGATTCAAAGATGTACTTGTGTCCTTCCAGCAAGCATGCACATGACATGCATCCCTCATTCATTTCCCGGCATTTCTCGGCTGTGTGTTTCAACTGCATCCTCCGACAACTTCTCCAGTTCCTCTTTCATGCCCTCTTGATTCCGGACCATCGCCTGGCACGCTCTATGCCTGTCTGATTTGAGGACCCTTCCAACGACGAATATGGCAACTTCTCGAAGACATCCAGTCCTTCTGGTTGCTCATCACTTCCTGCAGCAGGATCATATTGCAGCCAGCAAAGCCTTATGCTCACGATCAGGTTGGTCCTTCTGCATGCTGATTACATCCTGAAAAAGGGCGCAGAATGTACCAAGGCACAAAGAAGCAAAGATGCTGGCCTTCAGGCTTTCATTCGAAGGCGCACCAGCCGTATCCTGGTGCAGGCATCCACAGAATTTTTCAGCAGCTACACAACTACTGCCAAAGTCGCAAGCAGAGTCTCTTCAAGCCAAACTGGCCATGCTATCACACCTGGAAATTGATTCGATGGTATTGACATATCAGCCCGACTATTATAACCCCTTTAACGGATGCTGAGTGTGTGGTGTCATGTCTGAAGCTCGATGCAGGGACTCCCTCGCCGAAGCCAGTGCTGGCCTGGTCCGACAAGTGTTCAAGCTCTTGGTGCATGGCCTCCTGATTCACAACCATCTCCTGACAGCTCCAATAAACACGCTCCACCTGTTAGGCTTGCATGACGTGTACGACGTCCTTCTGTTTGCGTACCACGTCCTTGAAACTTGGCAGCACACACTCGAAACGCGCATGCAGACTCGCTCGTTCGGGAGCAGCAAGTCCTTCTCCAGTTCATACACATCCTTCCAACATGTTCAATTCAAGCAAGACACTGAACACAGACAGCGCAAAAACCTCTGTCTGGCTGTAAAGCAGGCCTTGAGTGTGATCCCCAGCTTGTCGACTTCAGGACATGGGGCTCGAAGCTCCGCTCTTTCTGCCTCCAGGCTCTGCTAAAAACTTGGAGGTGTCGAGCTCGTCTTGCCGAAGCCCCAGCTGCCTCCATCTTTGCTTCCAGGTATTTCTTCTCCAGCTCTTCGACACGCTTGCGTAAGTACAAGATCTCCTCATGCAGTCACCAACGTGAAACTGCTTCAGGAAGAGATGCTAGTGGGAAACTGTACAAGGATCCAACCGACTCTTCACTCTTCGAAAGCGTGCCTCAATCCAGCCGAGCACCATGCTGGGACTCTTGGGCTCTACGAATCCAGAATCAACTAGGCCAGCGGCTCGAAGAAGCTGCTGCTTCAGAATGCTCGCTCGATACTTCTACCCCCTGCAGCTGCAAACACGCAGTTGCAGCGATGCATGACGGTCTGCAAGCAGGTGGCAAACAAATGTTGGCAAGGAAGACTAGTGCTTTCTGCGGACATGGCCTCCCCAGCTGTTTGTGGGCCCGACGCGGTCTCCTAGTTTGGACTCAGGGCCACTTCGCTGCACCAGAACCCATCGCTGCTCAGAAGTTTAGCCTATAGGGTGCGGTCCTCTGGCACTTTACGAGGAGGCCGTGCCAGTTTGCGAACGCGTCTTTTTGGCTCAGCTTCTTCCTGTATGAATGACACAAGGGACGAGCTCGCCGACTTCCTACAGGTCCGCAGTGTGCAACCCTGGCAAAGCCTCCTCCTCCCACTCATCATGAAAGGCGTTGCCAGCAGCGCCGAGCTCCTCACCGGCCTTGCTCGAGCCAAGCATATCGGCAGCATCCTGGCTGTAGAGTCGAGAGAGGGAGACGCTCAGAGCCAGGGAGGGAGGGACGGAGCGAAGCTCGAGAGCGCTAGATCACAGGCCAGTGGACGTGGACCAACTTCGGATCGTCTTCCTCCTCCTGCCCCAGAAGACTCTTCATAACTGCTGTCATCTGCTGTCTGTGCGGCCTCGGACGCAACCGTAATGTTGGGGTTCTCCTTGCAGTCAAGAGCTTTGAGACTCGAATTCCGGGTCTGCATGCCCACACGGCTTTGGTGTCGTCACATCAAACAGTAGCCCTGAGAAGCCAGCTGAACTATGCGGCCGAGCATTGCTCACAGACCCAACGTCCCGCCTCCTTGCCCAGCAGGGCCTTAAAGTTGATGTCCCTGACTTTAACACCGGAGTTGGCGGCCACCTGCCAGGCAGCCACTCTGGCGATCACGTCTTGGTAAACGAGCACAGGCTTCCAAAAGGCCTCTTCGGCGATGTTGCAGCCATCTTTGGAGATAGTCTGGACAATCTTGTCCAGGATGTCGTACTGCGAAACCTGTGCTACTCCCGAACTACCTTTGCTGCCTCACCTATCAAGCCATATGTCATCTGGAAGGGGGCTTGAATACCGAAATTGTATAGTAACCAAAGTCTGGCTACCCACGATCCATGACAGTCAACCAGCACACACCCTGAGTTGAAGTCGAACGTCCGGTGCCTGGAAGAAAAGCTGTGGGCTTGTTGCGATGCCCTTCAGATCACGGATGTCCGCATCTGCACCAACGGCCACACCTGGCACCGATGTCGGAATCAGTTGTCTTGGCTTCCGGCGGTTCCACTTCCTGAGATCAGGCAAGCCACTGAATATGATGACCGAGTCGTTATGCTCCATATTTCGCGCTTTTTCCGGAGCTTCGAAGTCAACATCGCCATCCGAAACGATGACGAGAAAGCGGCTGGCCTGGCAGACCAACGTCACACACGGAGGCAAGCCAAGAGGGCTGCTGGCACTCTAGCCGTCACAGTTCAAGTCGTCGCTCCGAAGGGGATCTAGGCACTACTCCTTGAAGTCATAACAGTCTCCTTGATCATCATCTCGCAACACGCCTTGCGGTGTTGCTCCAAGAACAGCTCCCTGGATTTTACAAGTCCATCCTGGGACAGATTGTCAGGACTCATAACACATGAACGTTCCGGATAAATTTGTGCCGAGCCACGGAGAGATTCGTGTGGCCACCTTCCTGGGCGAGGTTTACCAGTCCTTCTGCCACCTCCCTCGGGGTGCTCTTGAAGCTCATCTCCTCAGCCATCTTGGCCCATCTTGCTCCAGGGACCAAGTCTCAATGTATCTGCCAAGAATCGATGCGGGCCTTGGTGTGGTATTGCACGAAGCCCACGTGCATCTCGTCAGCTCCAATGTTGAACCGAGCGACCTCGGCTGCTCCTACTGTTACGCACCGGCATGCTCGTTTCAGCACATTTCGGTTGAATTTGTGTGCTTGCCAGACACTTCTCAGCCACGGATGCTGATGTGCCTCTTTCTTACAGACTTTGGCAGTGCCCACTGCCCTGGGTCACGAGTGCAGGTCACGAAAACTGAAAATGCGGCTTGAGCCACGGTGTGCGAGACGAACTCCTTCAGGTCTTTCCAGTCTGCATCATTCACCTGTTGCACGGTGGAAAAAGCCGCATTAACGGAGAGTGAAGTCTGCTGCGCCATGCTATGCCATGCTCCCAAACCATTTTGTCAAGTTGCACTGAAGCTACCGTCTAGCAAGAAGACCAAGTCGACAGCTGCGCTGCAGTCCTGCCGACTGCACCACAAGCGGCCGTAACAAAGGCGTGTCCGTTACAGCGTGTACACAAGCAGATCCTTCGTGGTTTCCTGGAGCAAGGTCGCCAGTTGTGGCTCGTCAGAGACTCGAAATGAAATGGTCTCAGTGATCACAGAAACATGCCTTGACCCGCTGACAACTCTGATAGACACATAGCCAAGCGGCTGGTCGCATTCCTGCATTCAGCCATGCCTGAGTTCATGACAGCGGATGGCCCTCCTTGCTACGCAAAGCAATTTGTGGTACAAAGTGATCAAGCCGAGCAAGTCGCCCATTCAGCCAGCCCAAGCAGAAGCATAAGCAACATCCTCGCCATCGCAATGCCTGTCCGGCACTTCAGTGCTTCCGTAGGGTCTGCAGGGCCTTCAAAGCATGTTTCTTCAACACCTATAGCATAGAGTCCTGGAGTACATGGTGTGAGCGACAAGGACTCCAACCCCGACGACTGAAACAGGCAAGACGGCAGTTGGTGGGTTGAAAGATCCTCCCTGCAAGAGATCTGAAAGCAGCCGAAGAGCGCGGACTTGTGAACTCTTTCGCTGGATTCAGCAGATCAACTTACACGAATGAGGTGCTCGGCAGGCACTTGAGCCAGGAGCACTCGATCGAAGAATGCAGGACGCCGGTCGATCAAGCCAGTGCAGTATTGAGGCAGGTATCGACGAAGGCTGGGGCATCACATCAGTACATAGTACATATCTGAGCCTCGAACGTGCCAGACGAGGCTTCCTTAGTTGTTACTCGCGGCCGTTCAGGCAGTGTTGTGTAAATGGACGGCTTGTCCAGGCCCGTGGATAATGGCGATGCAAACCATGCTTCGTGTGCACGGCCATGTCAGGATGTGAACCATCATAGGTGGGGGTGGGGGGGACCACGCTTACCACCACTGTCTCTGTTAAGTTATTAAAACCAATACTTGAGACCCGCGGGGAGGTGAC